GGCTAAAACGGGGAGTTGATCTAACCCTAACCCTAACCCTAACCCTAACCCTAACCCTAACCCTAACCCTAACCCTAACCCTAACCCTAACCCTAACCCTAACCCTAACCCTAACCCTAACCCTAACCCTAACCCTAACCCTAACCCTAACCCTAACCCTAACCCTAACCCTAACCCTAACCCTAACCCTAACCCTAAACCCTAACCCTAACCCTAACCCTAACCTAACCCTAACCCTAACCCTAACCCTAACCCTAACCCTAACCCTAGGCCCTAACCCTAGGCCCTAACCCTAGGCCCTAACCCTAGTCTTTCGGGGCCTTTGTGTTGTATATACATCTCAAGGCAGAACGCCCCGTCAGAGCCACACACACACATATATTACGGTCACCCCAGCGGCACCTCAGCGCCACCCTCAGGTCCACATCTCAGAGCAGTTATGACAAAGGCGGAGGGCCTCGAGGCAGCTATCACTGAGGCGGTGGTGGTGGTGGACGGGGGCCCTGGCGCGGGGGAATGAAGCCACCCCGGCCCGCCGGCGCCCGTGGGCCGAGCGGATGCGGGGCGTTGGGGGCGGGGGCGGCAGCCGCAGGGGCAGCAGCAGGACCGGGCGGCGGCGGGATGCTGGTTTGTGGAGGGGCGGGGCCGGCAGCGGCGTGGGCGGGGGCGGCAGCCACAGGGGCAGCGGGTGCAGCAGCGGCGGCAGCGGCGGCTGGGTGAACAAAGCCAGCCTGTGGAGCAGCAGCGGCGGCAGCGGCGGCGGCGGCTGTGATGCGCCTTTGCTCGCGGTGCAAGAAGAAGGCAAGAGGGCCACTGGAAGAGAGGGGAGCACGAACTGCTGGAAGACGTTGACAATCCAGGTAAAGAGAGGCAGCACCACCTCCTCGGTGGTTGGGTGATACCGCTCACGGCCGTACTAGGCATGCTGCAGAGGAGAATGTAGCCGAGGACGGATGTGAGCATCAGTACGATGTTGACGGTGTTTGATGTCGGTGCGGACAGACGGAGTTTGACGGTGTTGGGCTCTTTGAGAATCATAGGTTGCGCAAAGGTTGCGCGGCGGGACGTGACCCCGCCGCTACCACGTCGCGGGGAGCGGGCGATAACGCCCGCCCCCACGGTGGCGAGTCCAGGCGCGGCCGCCAGGCTCGGGCCTCTGGGCGCTATTCTGCACTCGTTATAGGAATTGGGAATTGGGAACACCCCGACGGAAGCCTCAATAGGGCGGATCGGGCGTAATCGTCTCGCGATGGGCACCAGACGGGCACATTCGGTGACACACAAAGGAATAGCCCCGCTGCACTACTACGTGCGCGGTAATGGCAGCGCTGCACCGGCGCTGGGGGAAGCGGTAGCATGGCGCGGGCAGCGACGCATGATGTCGACCAGCACGTCGTGATTGTCGCCCCCCGGAGGCGAGTAGATGCGGATCACGTAGGCAATGGCTGTGCCGCCCGTCGCGCTCTCCCCGCTGCCCGCCCGCCACTGGATCCAGTAGATCGCGCCCTCTCGCACTGGGACGCCTTTGTCTGAGACGTAGTAGCCGGGGTCGGTCGGTGCCCGGCTGCGGCGGCCGGCGGCGTGAGCCCTACGGCGTGGCTCGGCATCGCCCGGTGGGCCGCGCGGCCGGTTTTGTGGCGCGGGAAGCCGCGCGCGACGCGCCAGTATGGGGGCCAAATCTAGCGGCTAAATGCCGGTGTTTTTGTGGTCAACGGTACGGACTGGGCTGGCGCAAAAACAGGGGCGAAGGATTAGTGCGCTCGCAGCTGCCTAGCGCTGGCCTGCGTGACCGGCGCCGCGGTGGCGGAAGAGGCGTCTCGCCGCCGTGGCGGCGGTCGGCAGGTGCGAGCGTGATGGCCATCGTGCGGCAGAGTCCGGCGAGAGATTATTCTCAAGAACCACCTTAAAAACCCACAGCCCAGTACATACTACATTCGACAAAATCCTGACTCAGGCGACAGGCCAGACGGGGGGCGGTCATGCGGCTAGCCCTCACACCTCAAAAGCTACGTAGAGCGCTCCCCCCCCCTTTTTCTCTCTATCGACGATGGACTAGTCGCCCTCGTAGGGCGGATCGCCTGGACCGCGATAAACGTCTATCGGCGACCGGACCGCGTCCGAGCCATAGTAGCGGCCCTTGTTGGCCTCCGGGTGCGGCACGTCGCCAAAGAGGAGGTAGAGAGGCGCGACGTGGCAGTTGGATTCCTCGGGCCTCTTCGTGGCGCCCATGCCGGCCGTGAGGTCGGTGAGGATGTAGCCGGGTGAGCAGGAGTTGACACGCAGCTGCGGGTGCTCCGCAGCCAGCTGCATAGTCCACTGATTGACGGCCGCCTTGGAGAGGCCGTAGGCGACGCCCTCGTAGTCGGTCGACTCGGCGTACCTCTGAAGGCACGCATCGAGCGCCTCCCACGACGTCGCGCGCGAGGTGAAGATCGCCTTCTGCTCGGCGTCGAGCCCGCGCACAAAGTTCGGACCCGAGGCGGAGGCGACGTTGCAGACGCGGCCCTCCGCCTCGATGAGCGGCACAAAGTGCGCGCAGCAGCGCACAGATCCGTAAAAGTTGGTCGCGAGCGTCTCGCGGATCGAGCGGCCAAAGCCGACGCCCGCGTTGTTGCACAGGCCGTGGAGCGGCGTCGGCTCCGACGGATAGCGTGCTGCTAGCTCCGACGCGGCCGCGGCGACCGAGGCCTCGTCCGAGACGTCGAGCTGCAGCATCTCGACGCGGCCCGCCGCCGACGGCTCCGAGGCCAGCACGTCCGCCACAGCCTTTTCGCCACGGGACGCCGACCGAGATCCCAAAACCACGTGCGCGTCCGGCTGCGTCGCCACAATCTTTTTGCAGATCTGCAGCCCGATCCCCTTGTTGGCGCCCGTCACGAGCACGCGTCGCACCGCACCGGCGGCGGTCAGCGTCGCGAGCAAGCAAAGGTGCAGCGCGAGTAGCCTGGACATGTATGCGCCTACTTGACTCACACGCGCAAACCACGCTGCACGAACCACAGGCGCAGCTCGCCCGCCGCGCCGCTGGGTGTGAATGGGGGTATTTTCTTCTCAATAACAAGGCTGTGAACGAGCCTGGCGTGTCTAGTGATAGCGACGGAAACGGATTTGTGACTGGTAGCGTTGGGAGGAGCAACACGACGCCGACACACACACCGATCTATCTCGTGGCACACGTCTAGAATAGGTATCAAGCAAGAGATCAGAGAGAGAGCGGTCTCAGGAACCGTACCCATACTACTCAAAAGTACAATATACTACCACAAAGCACCACTAGCGATTTCGCGCGGAGGGCGTAGTGAAGCGCTGGGGCGCTCACTGTGTGTTATTCGGGTGGGGATCCATCAGTGGTAAGCGGCTTTAGTCACAGATCCAAAACACAAAACTCTCTCTCTCTCTCAGATCCAAGCTCAGACGCCACACCAACACCACAAACACGCTCACTTCGCCGCTGCTGTAGAGGGCCCCCGGGGGCCCATACTACGTCGAAGTACGGACCCGATCTCGGCACTCACGGGCTGCCGGGTCCCGTACCATGCGGAATCGACCCTATCCGGTGCTCAAGTGCTCAAGTATCTGCGTCGTACTTGAGATCGCAATCTAACAAATCGCTCGTGGCGGGTGTCTCGTGGAACGGTGCATTCATTAGCACCTCGTACGGCGACATTGCATTGATCACTCGACATGGATCAGACCGGATCTGAGCCTTCAACTCCCTAATCTGTGGAGGGTCGAAAATTGCGCCCATAGAACGGTCGAGCATAATTTTCTTCCACTCTTTCTCGTCTTTTGCTTTGAGTAGCTCTTTGTACTTTGAGCTCGGCAACGCGAGCATGACCGTTGAAGAACCGTTGAAGGAGCGCGTCGTACGCATATTGGTAGGGCAGCTGTGGGAATCCGTCACACGCTACATCACCTTCTTTGATCTCTTCAACACTGAGCGATCGGAAGAGGTCTTCTGACACGCACCCCAGCCCCCTCTCCGACCTTCGGATATCAAAGTCCGTGATTCCGTGTTCTCCAAAATCCGCCCTTGAATCCTTGAAATAATTCCGTTTTTCCATTCAAAGCCCGTAATTCCGCAATCCTAACACGCACCGCAGCCAACCAACCGATGCTCTTGCGGTGTCAACCTGTGGTCCTGTGCATGTGCCATGTCAAGCCATTCTTCTTTCTGGCATGATAATTCACTCCAAGGTTGTGGTGCATTCATTAGCACCTCGTACGGCGACATTGCATCGACTTCTCGTCGCATGTCAGATAGTATCAACACAGGAGAGAGAGATTTTTGTTCCTGTGGGGATGGGAAAACCTCGATCCTGGACCGTGTTTGTTATGACCCCCCCCCATGAGCACACCAGCGAGGGAGGGTGAGACGATCGAGGGGTCCCGTACCATGCGGAATCGACCCTATTCCAGTGCTCAGTGCTCAGAGCGGGATGGGAAAGGCCGGACCAACATGAAACTGCCCGGACTTCACGTTGGTGGCCCGCTCTCCCGAAGGAGGTCGACAACGACCGCTCTGCGCCGCTTTTGCTTGCGATGACCTCCGCCGGCGGCCGCTCGCCCGACGACGCCTGCCTGATCTCGCGCCTCTGGCTCGGCTGGTGCGCGGCCATCGCGTACAGAGGCTGGTCCAAGCCGCTGCACGAGGAGGACCTGCCCTCCGCGCCAAGCGGAGTGCGGTCGGATCCGCTTCACCGCGTCGCGGTCGAGCTGTGGGAGGCGGAGCTGGCGCGTGCCGAGCCGGGCAAGGCGCAGGTCCTCTCGGGCGTGCTGTACCCACTCGCGCGCCGCAGCTTCTACCAGGGCGGTGCGCTGCTGGTCGTCTCCGGCCTCTGCAACTCGGTGGCGCGGCCGCTGCTCCTTAAAAGCGCCGTCGAGTCCATCTCGCCCGACGAGCCGCTCTGGCGCGGCTTCGCCTTTGCCGGCGGCCTCGGTGCCTGCCTGCTGCTCGAGCAGTGGAGCAAGACGCAGGGCCTGCACATCGCGGGCGACGAGGCGATCCTGCGCGCGTCGTCGGCCGCGATGCAGCTGGTGACCCTCAAGGCGGGCCGGCTCCGCACCGGCGTCGGCTCGGACGGCGCCGAGCAGACGCTGCTCGGCAAGGACCTCGTGGGGGCCGCCGACATGGCCCGCTTCCTGCCGCTCATGTGGCTCTGCCTCTCCTCCCTCGTCGGCGGCCTCACCGTCGTCTTCGTCCTCTCGGGCCTCGCCGGCGGGCTCGGCGTCCTCGTCATGGCGGGCACCTTCTTCGTCTCGATACCGCTCGGCCGCCACGCGAAGCGCTCGCAGGCGCGTAGGCGCGGCGCACGCCGCCGCGGCCACCCGCCGCCGACCCCGCCCTTCCCCTCAGGCGGCGATGCTCAAGGCGTCGGAGGAGACGGCGGGCGCGACGAGGGAGCTGCTCGATGGCGCAAAGGTGGTCAAGTTCATGGGCTGGGAGGAGACGTACCTCGCCCACATCTGCCGCCGCCGCGCGACCGAGCTGACGCACCTCCGCACATACCGCATCGCGATCAACGTCGTCGTGCAGATCGGGCGCGCCTCGCCCATCATCTCCATCCTCTGCACCGTCCTCGTCCTCGTGCTCACTTCGCCCGACCGCTTCCGCGCCGATGTCGTGCTGCCAATCATCTCCCTCTTCCAGGTTGGGCTGGCCCCTTCCCCCACGTCCTCGCCCACGCCCTCGCCGCACCTTGGCCACGCCTCGGCCACACCTCGCCCAGGCCCCTTCCCCCACGTCCTCGCCCACGCCCTCGCCGCACCTTGGCCACGCCTCGGCCACACCTCGCCCAGGCCTCGGCCACACCTCGCCCACGCCCTCGCCCCACGCTCGCGTCGCTCCTCCAGGCGCTGCGCGTGCCCTTCATCATGCTGCCGATGGTCTTCCAGATCCTGATCGCCATCCAAGTGGCCGCCTCGCGCATCTCCGCCTACCTGCAGCTGCCCGAGCAGCCCGCACCGCCCGCCGCGGCCGGCGAGGGCGGCGCGCTTGTCTCGCTCGACGGCGCGACGGTCAGCTGGCCCGCGCGCAGCGGGGCGCCAGCCGCCGCACGGCAGCCCGCCCGCCTGACCGAGCGGTCGCTCTCTCGCCGCATGAGCCGCATGGTCCGCCGCGCGCCGCCGCCGCCGCCGCCGCCGCCGCGCTCGCGCTTCGACGGCGTGGGCCCGCGCTCGGCGACCATGGCGCAGATCAACATGCTCAGCCTGCCGGAGCGGTCCGGCCGCCGGACGGTCGGCGGCGCCGGCGACGTCGAGGCCAAGCCGGTCGACGCCGTGAGCGACGTGTCGCTCTCGGTGCGTGCGGGCGAGCTGGTCGCGCTGGTCGGGCCCGTCTCTGCGGGCAAGACGTCGCTGCTGGCGGCCCTGTGGGGGGAGGCGTTCGTCCGCAGCGGCAAGCACGCCGTTGCGCAGGCCGCCATCGTGCCGCAACGCCCCTTCACCATCGCCGGCACGATCCTCGACAACATCCTGCTCGGGAGGCCGCTCGAGCCGGACCTGCTCGCGCAGATCCTCGAGGGGTGCGCCCTGCTCGACGACCTGGCGGCGCTGCCGCTGCGTGAGCACACCGAGGTGGGCGAGCGAGGCGTGACTCTCTCGGGCGGGCAGCAGCAGGTTGGCGGTTCCAGCGGTTCCCCCCCTTCCCCCCCCCCCCCCCCTCTCCCGCCACCAGCCACTCACCCTCCTACCCCCTCCTCTCTCGCAGCGGATCGCCATGGCGCGCGCCCTCTACGGCCGCCCCTCCGTCCTCCTCCTCGACGACCCGCTCTCCGCCG